AACAGGTTCCATGACACCACCACTAATATGAATAAGAAGATAAACATTAAGAGCTAATACTTTTGAAGTGCCAACTAGTGTCAAACACTGTTGTACATACATCACATACTTTACTTCATTTCATCCTCACAACCACCCTATAAGGTATGGAAGTGTCATCACCATCACCACCATCATCATCATCACCCTCATGGTACATATAAGGAAACTAAAACTCAGAGAAGGTAAGCAAATGACCCAATCACACAGCTTGTGAGGGACAGAACTTTCTTTCCTTGAACAGAGTTTTGCTTTTAGATTATGATTCAAAATTTCAGCATCTTTCCTCTTCTGAATTTAAAAATGTCACCTCTCCTGAAAGCTTGTATCTGTCAGTGCCCCCAGCATGCCTATTATCACATGAAGGACATGAGTCATACAGGGATGCTTGGTGCTTGTTCAGATCATTCTTAAACTTTTTGAGGAAAGTGAATCTAAAAATACTCAGTAATTGTCTGAATTGTGACTCAGAATCCTTCACAACACAACACTCCAGACAATTGGTTAGGAAAGCAAAATCCACATGCCATCTGTGGTCTACTGTAGAAAACATCAAGAACTAGTATTCTGTGGAAAAGAAAGCTTGTAATCAATTTACCGATGTTTGCCTTGGTCACAATGCTAGTATATGGCAGAGTTGGGACAAGAAATCAAACCTGCTAACTTCCATCAAGCTCTCTTCCATTTCACATTGTACCTGTGGCAGACCTTAAAATAAAACACCTGTCTTCCTCTTGATTCTCACTCTAGCTTTCCAAATGAGAGGGCCTTTCCATAAGATAAAGAATACCTGACACGGGCCGGCCCCATGGCGTAGCGGTTAAGTGCGCGTGCTCCGCTGCTGGCAGCCCGGGTTCAGATCCCAGGCTCAGATCCCAGGCGCGCACCGATGCACCACTTGTCAGGCCATGCTGTGGCAGCATCCCATATAAAGTAGAGGAAGATGGGCACGGATGTTAGCTCAGGGCCGGTCTTCCTCAGCAAAAAGAGGAGGATTGGCATGGATGTTAGCTCAGGGCTGATCTTACTCACAAAAAAAAAAAAGGCGTTTAGGTTCTTCCATGCTTTGTTTTTTTTCCGCCTCACTCTTGACTATATCTCCTCTTATTATAACTTGTACTAACTGCTGCAAAATGAAACCAGAAGAGCTGGCTGGATTTCTGGTAATTCACACAGGAGAACATCAGGATAATTACCAAACAATGATACATTAAGTTTTTTATTATTTTGACATTTGTTCAGGTCAATAACCAGAAACGTTATTTGTTTAGGAGAAAATCAATGAATAAAGGGAACAACTCATTAATACCAAAATTTCATAACTGTTTTTAAGTTGAGAGAGCGTGATTTTTCCCCTTTTTATCGTAGGGTGATGAAATGAAGAAGTTAGGAATACAGCCTATTCCTATGATGGACAGAGACAAGAAGGATGAAGTCCCACAGGGCCAGGTATGAATTATGTTGTAAAGTCAAATAATTCAAGGTGGTCATAAAATCATATATGAATAAAAAGCATACACTATCTTACAGGACCCAGAACTACTTGAGATCATCTCCATTTAGATGGAGTCTGGGGATAGTAAGACCAATGTTAGGAAATCCTAGTTGGATTTAAAGAATTTACAACTACTCCCGTCACCCGTCTTTCTACAGATGTAATTGCAGGAAACAGGTTTCCTTTTCTGACTTGAAATAGAGGAGATGGATGAATTTGAATTGTTAATATTTTTCACAAGCAGAAAATGTGTTGTCATTGGCTGTACAAAGATATTTTTTGGAAAGTAACATTATAGAGTTTGGGTAGGTCGGCTTTTCCTAACAAATAATGCATAGCATTTTAGTACATCTCAAGTTTTGTCTTAACAAAAATTGACATTAATTATTCTCTTTCCAGGTCTCCCTGCATAATTCATGTTATTTTTTTGACGTTTTGAGAGCTCTTGTGCCTTGTTAGTTTTGCATGTGTGCATGTGTGGTGTGATATTTCTCAGATTACAGTCGTTTTAAACTACCCTTCTTCTAATGTCGTAAATAAGGAAGTTAGTTTTGGACAAATATTTATAATATAGAATTCAGTTTAGAAAACATTTTAGAAAATTCAAAGGATGATGGTTTTGGATAAGTTCTCAAATTTTCCTACTTTATTTCAAGTACTTTTATTAACTGTTAATACAAAAGTGTAGGCAAGTCCATAGCTCATAGAGGCACCAGCACAGCGAAAGGCTGTGTGTTTGTCTCCTCCTCGTTGGCTTCAGTGAACAGTGTATTCATGTCCTTACCCAGTTTTTCTGATGGATGCTCCTTGTTCCCTCTTTACTGAATGCACATCTGACATGCCTGTCATGCATGTTACGTGTGTATGTTGCAGCTTAGTTTCTTTTCAATATTGTTTATGGACCTGGCCGATATATGTACTCAACAGTGATCAGTCTTTTGCTGTCTGGTGTCTGCTTTTCATGTCACGTTGTATAAGACCTGTCCCATCTTGAGATTATTTAAATATTTGCCTAAATTTTCTTTAGTTACTTTTTTTGTGTCATCACTTTATATTTGATTTGTTAATTCATTTGGAATTTATCTTGTTATATGGCTTAAGATGGGGGTCTAACAAAGTTCTTCGTTCCAGGTGGTTAAACAGTCATCCCAACAGAATGCAAAGGATAGCTGAAAATGTCATCCGAGGATGGGCTCTGTCCTAGTTTATTTAATTAAGAGAGTAGTTTGTTTTTTGCCAAAATTTCAGATCCATTTACAGTATGAGAGAGTTTTAAATAAAATATTTCTGTGATCAGCTAATATTTTACCAAAACTATATTGCTTATGAATTGTGATTACTGTGTCATTATTCTCTGCATTAATAATAAAATACTCTACTTTCCAATAATTAATTTCTTTCTTGAGATCGTCTACTCCATGACGTCTGCTAAATATAAAAATAAGAAAGTCTTTGCATGAGCTATAAAGTTAAAGATGGAAAAGCATAGGCATTATTCTAGTAAGATTACTGTGATGATAGACTTCACAAGAGCAGAGAACAGAAAGGAAACAAGCAGATTCGATTCTTCCATATCCTTTGGTGCATCTCATTGAAGTTTAGTTTTGTAAAGAAATTGATAAGCCATGGTTTGGGGGTCACCTCATCCAAGGAGCCAATTTTATGTTGTATGTATTGTCAACCACATGGGCAGTTATGTATACCTAGACAAGCTGTGTACTCTGGTGAATAGTATAGCAGATCTTTTACATGTGGCCGTCAGTAGGCCATTCTGAACCAGCATCACTTATTCGCACAGTGGCTCAGAATTCCTAATAAAATGTTCTTTAATATATTTTTTAAAGTACCACAGATTAAAAACTGAAATCTGACATATTGAGAGAACTGTAACCTGAGAGAACTATGATAAAGTCAATGAGATTTGTTTTGGGTCCAATAAAGGGAGGAGACAGATGAGGAAAATTTCAAGACACCAAACAAGATACCAAAAGCCAAGAGTAACAAACAGATAAAACACCCTGCAGTGATTCCTAAATATTAAGTTGGAGAAGAGTCATCCATGTAGAATAGCAGGTTGACTTTGAAATGTCTATGAAGAGTACTAAATTTGACCAGAGATAAGAACCAGACTTGAATTATAACTTGATTGCTCTATAAATAGAATCTCATTGACTGTTGTACTTGGGTTTTAGATTAACATCTTTTTATGTTTTCAATTTTTATGTGTTTTATTTTGAGAATGTATTTTAATGCATTTTTAAATGCACTCTCCAGTAGTATTCATTGAGCCCAAATGTCACCTAGCAAAACTAGAACATTTAATTTTATAGTTAGGCTGGAGAAATAGAAAATTCACTTGAGAAATATTGTGCTGCTAGAATTGCTAATGTGCAATTGTTTCTTGTCCGTGGTTTTTGCACCGAGGCAGCTTGGATTCTACAACGCCGTAGCAATTCCCTGCTACACTACCCTTACCCAGATCTTCCCTCCCACAGAGCCCCTCCTTAAAGCGTGCAGGTATGTACATAGTTCAAGCTGTGATGTTATTTAAAAAAATGACTAAGACTCCGTACAGGCTTTTTGCTCCATCAATGTGTGTATGTGTCTTATCTACAGCTTACAATAAATATAATTTTATGGGCTGCGTGTTTGCCTAGGTAACAAGTAGATGTCAAGAGTATTTATTCGTAAAGTCTTTCATTCACCAAAAAGGAACAAGGAGTTTGTTTGTTTGTTTGTTTTTATGAGGCAGAGAGCCCCGCCCAATGCTGTTTTTAAACAGATGGGACAATAATGTCTGTTCAGGGCTGCTCGCTTGAATCACGCAGTTGATTATTGAAATGGAAGAGGGGGAACCTTGATGGAATCTTCTCTCTCTTTGTTTAGTTTTCTTCCCAAAAGAAATGGAAGCCATCTGTTATCTGTCCTAGCTTCAGATATCTTTGTGTCCTTCCATCATCTTTTCTGAGGGGTGAGCTCAGCTAAGAACGTTGGAATTCTTTTTAAGATCTTCATTTTACTTTGAAAAGAAGTTCCCTCTGGGGAAAGCGAAGGATGATGGGCAAAGCAGCCTTGTGAGTTGATTTTCTGCAGATGAATTGGTGTCAAGGAGATTTTTCTGACCACTTAACCAGAACCACACTTGATGGGTGGAGTGGGTGCATGGGGGTGGGGGAGTGGGGGGGTGGACTGAGGACAGACGTTTGACTAGATAGTTTTAAACAAAACCAAAAGCTTTTAGTGTACTCCCATCCTCTGCTGTTGAGACTTATTTTTATGAACTAAATTTTTAAGGAAAGCAAACAAACAAAACCAACAAGCAAGAAGATGAAAAAAATCATTTCATTTTTTTGGTGAGGAGGATTGGCCCTGAGCTAACATCTGTTGCCAGTCTTCCTCTTTTCGCTTGGGGAAGGTTGTCGCTGAGCTAACGTCTGTGCCAGTCTCCCTCTATTTTATATGTGGGACGCCACAGCAGCATGAGCGGTGCGGAGGTCGGCGCCTGGGACCGAAGCCGCGCACCCCGGACCGCCAAAGCAGAGCGCACGAACTTAACCACTACGCCACGGGGCCAGCCCCTGTTTTGTTATTTTTTACTTAAGTTGTGATTTCTCTTTCCTCTCTGCTCCCAGGGAGATGAACATAGCATCCTAGCTTCTTTTGTTGAGCCATCACCGACTTTAATCAGTGGTTAGTTTATTCAAATATTATCTTACTGCGTAAGGGCTGAGCCATGTGGGCAGTATGGAGTGTGAGCTAGAACTCCTCCTTGATGGAATCAGGTTGAAAAAGTGGATGCCCCACCAAATTGAAATCCAAACAACATGTCGGAGGAAAAGAGCCTGGGCAATAGTCAGAGGTCCTTTCATATCCAAAAATTCTCTGTACTTTATGCTAAATATTTAGACCCAGCAGAAGGAATGCTTGCCGTGATTATCAAGCACTGGGTTTTCAGTTGTCTTAGCAGCTTTCCTGCATTCTTGCTTCAGTGTACTTGGTTGAACCACATAATCTTTTAAAGACCCTTTTAATCTTAAAAAAATTCATCATGTATCATTGGTGTCCAAGGAAACGTAGGAAAGTTAGTGTATGTCTTTCTTCCAATGTATCAAAAAATCTCTTTAGGTTCTGGGAAAATGATGCCTGATGATATGATACAAAAGTTAAAAGTGTTACACTTTTCAGGTTATATTTTAGGGATTTCTTTTGTCCAAAGGTGTCTTAGCATGGGTGTGCTTTGTATGAATTTTGTGTTTGCCTAAGCCAAGGTTCCCTTCTCATTTTGACTTTGTATATAAGGAAGCAAAGTGCAAGATGGGAAATGTTGATGAGATCTCTGCCTGGTTAGCCACAGAGGGCAAGATGGTGGTCACGCAGTGGTAGTTATCACACTATTAAAGAAGATTAAGATGCGTGCAACGTTTGAACTGCAGATATTGAGAGAGTGGGAGAGAAACGAGGCTGCATTTGAGACTAGAGGTCACCAGAACACAAATGCGGTTTTACTGTAACAAGGAAATTTCAGAAGTTTGTACCAGGGGTAACTTATGGTGACTTTTTATTTATGACACAGTGTTCAAAATCAGCTACTCTCCAGTTCCAAGTGAGGTGTGACAGGGGCTGAAGCCTCATGGAGGTGCACTCTTTCCACCCTGCAGAGTCTGAAGGCCCTGACTGTTCCTATTGGTGCTGAATGTTCTTGCTGCTCAGGCATCCTTCCTGTTCCATCTATCCTGCCTGTTTCTCAGTAGTAAACCCTATGGCTCATTCTCCTTTTCGAGTTAACCCTTCAAACTATCTGTCCTAAGCCTCACTTTCCTTTTTGACCTTGCAGTCTGGAGCTGGAGGGATGAGGTACCCCCCCAGGCTTTGGTGGTTCAAGGCTCTTCTGAGGACACTCAGCTGCAGTGCCAAGTCAGGGAGACATAATGGGAGCCTGCCTGGCCACAGCAGGCTAGTTATTATCACAGTCAGAATGACACCAAAAAGCCACCATGACTAGTCATGCCACAGGATGGTGTGGTTAATTTTTGAGACAGAATCCAGAAATCCTTTTTAAACATCCTGTCACTGCATCTTTCATCCCTAGGAATAACCTCAGCCAGTGGGAGAAGGTGATTCGAGGGGAGGAGAGTGCAGTGTGGATCTCGTCCCAACCAGTGGCCCAGGGGACCTCTGAGAAGCTGCCTGTGAAGACAGATGACTGCTGATGAGCTGTCCCACCTCAAGATGCTCGTCTAGCTTCTTTGACTTTTCTTCCTTTTGTTTTTGTGGGAGGAAACCTACACCTGGTACCTGGGATGCAAACCTCTTCAAGAAGGTAACATCGAGTCAATATGTCAAGCAGATGACTCCCTGCCAGTCTCATCTGTAAAGCATCATAGACAGTGGTCAACTAGGACCACCCCATGACCAGAAATCAGCTGTCCACATGACTCCATTGGACTTGTGAACTGGCCTTTTCTAATAGGCTAATTTGCTGAGGCCTTAATGGAAATGGACAAAAATTATTCAGAAGGGGGTACTTTTCCATTGTATCTTTCTAGTGAGGGTTTAAAATGGTACTATTATCATATTGTACTTTGGCTTTAACACCAATGTTGCTTTGATGTTGTTGGTTATAAATAGGAATTTTTACACATTACTGTTGTGAATGTTCATGTGTGACCTACTTGTAATTAGCGTGAATTGTAGCAGACAGCCTCAGGACACGTGTCATCGAGGTTACGGAGTAAGAAGTGTCATTCTGCAATCAGTGATGGAAAATAGTCAGATTCTTGTTTCAGAGCCTCATGAATTAAAAGTTAGGTGGACTAAAGTGTATCCTTTAAGTTTATACTAAAGGGCTTAGATGAATAAATTTAACACTAAAGGAAGTAGATATTCTGTCCTCTGGAGAAAAGATGCAGATATACATCATAATAAATTCAGAACTCTAAGTATCAATTCAAAAGATATCAAAGAATATTTTTAAAATTTTTTTCTTCATTGTAATCTTGGCACATTTACTAAACCCTTTGGATAAAGAACAAAATAAAAGCAAAGCATATAATTTTTTTTTAACAGAGAAGTCTTATGGATGTAAAATGTGAATTTTTAATAATGATTTCTTTATATTTTCATTTGGTGTCATTACAAAATTTTAGACTCACACTCAAAATGAAAGATTTTTTTCCTGTAAAATTATTTAGTTAAAATGCCATACATTTCTCTCAAAATCAAATTAAACCGTAAAATTGAAGTCTTCTGTAATTTTTACTTTGATCTGCTGCATTCTTCTCCCATTTCTCCCTTCCTTGTGTTACTCAATCATCTTTCCTAAGCTTTCTGTCCATAACAGGGAAGTAGAAGAAAACAGTGTAATTGTATGGTCGCTTCTTTCTGCTCTCTCTACTCTGGTCAAGATCAAAATCTACATAGAAACCTGTGGTTTGGAGAGTTTCTTCTGTATAATTTTTGGGAGACTACTATTACTCTACAGTGTAAATGCCTTGAAAAAACATACAAAAGTAATAGTCTGGACCCCTTCCTACAAGGATTATAAGCCAGTCACTTCTGGTGCATATTAATGCTGTACAGATTTTTAGCACAATGACACAGTAACCTCCGAAGCTGTGGTTAGTCCTGACCTGAAGGAGTTAAAGTCTCAGGAAGTGACAGGCCAATCCATAACAAATAGCTTATCCACTCTTCACGTGGCAGGAAACTGGAATATTACTTTTAATAAAATAAATTTTTAAAATACTCTTCTACATATTCAATACTGTACACATTGTTGTTCATGTGAGCTTGGGTTTTTGCAAAAAAAATTAAATCAGATGTTTCTACAACATGGTTTATTTATGTTGTAGCAGCGTTAGCTATACGTAAACATTGTTCTTATTTTAAAATTAACACTATGTGTTCAATTTCCTTATGGGCTTCTGAAAGTTGCCATCTTCCCTACATGGAGCTCCATTTGCTACTGTAATTATACAATATGAGGTAAAATGAAATAAATAGAGAAATACCACTGTGGCTAGGTACACACATCTATGTATGAGAGAGAGCAAGAGTGATACAAACACATCCACGAAAAATAAAAGTCAGCTCCATTCTTCAGAAATGGTGATTTTTTGTGCTGGAAAATGTGTATTGTTTGATAAAGAGCTGACAAGAAAGTGTCCTTTTTATGTTAGTGTAGTCGTAGAATTGAATGCTAAAAAGTTGCATATTTTTCCACATCTAAATTTATGAAACTGGACCCACTGATTTCAACTTGCACAAAAGTTAATTTAGTCATCTAATTTGACTTGGAGACTGATTTGCAATGGGGGAGGAAATATCATTTATGATTGTTGTTTAACTAAAAGGATTTTAAAAGAATGCATGAATTTTACTTCTTGATATAGAAAACAGTCATGGGGGGAGAGAATCCTATGGCTATTTTTGCATCTAAGATTGCTGTTCTGCTGAGATTATTACAGAAAGTTCTCTTATTTTGATACAGCCAGGTGTATTATATCATGTGATCTATACTTTGAGCAGTTTCCCAAAGAAATGTATATCAGTTAATTGGTTTATTTCTCATGAAATATTGTCATAATAGGAACAAAGGTTGACCCAAGGACTATATTCGAATGTAAACTGTTAATATCGCTTTTACCATGTGTAAGATTTACTTAGGAATCATAGATTTATCTAAAATAAAAGGGCCCAGGATGCAGTGATATATAGTTAATCTGTTTTGGAAAAAATGCAGTTAGCAGTAATTGTGCATTTTGGCAGATATATTTAGCGGACAAACTTTTGAGTTCTGTTCTCATCTTCTTCCCAGATCTTTTCTTAAAAGGGCAGATGGTTTTTATTACCAAAGCTTTGATGAGTTTCTCCTTAAGGTGGTATTTTATATTGGGCCAAATTTCCCCTGTTCAGTATAAATTTGGTAACCAGCTGTGAGTATATTTAGAATGTTTTATTTGCAGAGATTTTTATTAGTTGTGCTGATTTATATAATACACACAGTTTTATTGTCAAATGCAATGATTCCATTATCTTTCCAGAGATAGTGAATATATTTTTTAACTAAAAATTTTCTTGGAAATGCATGCCACCAACAACATGAAATACTGAACTTGGGCAGTAGAATAAAATTCTAAAAAAATGCAAGCATCTTATGAATTGATAGTTGACTCTGAATTAATTAAATATAAAAACATAAACAAATGCAATTGATGTGGAAAGTAATTCTCAAAAATAGCCCTTTGACTAGGGCAGGAGTTGTGATGCATTTCCCAGCGTTAGTTATTTCTAAGAAGTGCATGAGAAACCAGTCTTGGAAGAGAGACCCCAATGAATTATTCACAGTTGTCCTCATTCCAGACTCTTCTCTCAATGAAGAAGCATCTGTGCATATGATTACAATGCTACTCGAAGTGACTTGTTCTCACAGCAACTAAAACAGAGCTAATTTGAAACTAGATCTGTTCAGTGTAGGTTTCCTCTTTTTAGCATGCTTTTAGATTTTTTAAAATTTTATTTTGTACAATCAATCTCAGTGAATTTTGCTTTATTGGATGTTCAGCCACTCTAGATCTGTTTGTACATGATACACATAATTGCATAAATCCTTAGCTACCTGGAGTTTTTAGTAGATTTAGTTTTGAGGATTATGTTTCTGGTCTTTTAACTGAGAATTAAGGTTTGAGCTTTAATAGGACTCAATTATTCACCACGCCTTGGCCTGTGCCTTTATTTTAAATACTGTCATTTTTCTTCTTCATTCATATAGTCATTATTTTGCTTTTCTTGCTTAACTCTAATTGGAAACATTTAAAGGGACACCCATGGTTAATTTTGTCAGGTTGAATGAATAGGACCTTTCTCTCCTCCTCAGATTTCTCTCCTTTACTTGGTTTCATTCACATATACCCTCATCACTGCAACCAATGAACTGCTCAGATTCAGTCTTTTTTTGCAAGAACTTCCAAGAACTGTGACGCTGATTATGATGTGATTTTGTTGGCATTCAGGTACATATGCATGACTTAGATTTTGAAAATCACTTCTATCTTTATATATTTCAAATATATATTTGCTTCCTACACTTTGCTGATTTTATTTAGGGTTAATTCTTTAAAGACTTCTTCATTTAGTCACATTGGTGTATCCCTTCTGTTGCAAGTATTAATCTGATTTTGAAATCACTGTAAAATGTGCATTAGCCGAGCGTGTTCTCAGTTCTTGCTTCTCTGTGCTTGTCAGTAGCACGTGGCTGTTCTGTTCTCACCCTTTGCGTAAGTATTTATCCTGATAACACATTTTGCCAGTTCCTTTAAACACTTACCTTAAATTTAAATTAGTGAGACAAAGACATAGACTTTGTTTCCCAAGAATCGTGTTTAAAATCCAGAGAAGCATTACTATCTTCCATCAGACTCTAAGCCTTTCCCTTCTTCTCGACCCCACAGTGGGAGGCGCGCTGTGTACGTGGCACATCTTTTGACTGCTCTTTACAGCAGATGTGGGGGAATCGTGACCGAGAGCACGCGGACCTGAGCGTGGCTCTGCTGGAACACAGAGTAGTGTCACCCAAGGACCCAGACAGACACTTACAGCCAAATCCAGACTGCCAGGTAGAGAAGTCGGTTTACACATGTCAGGTTTCGGCTCATATTTTTGAGGTACTGTAGATTTGCAGAAGTTTAAATGGAAAGTTTTATTCCCATTGTAAATTAAATCTTAAAAGTGTTTTACCTAGTACTCTAGCCCACCTAAAATACCATTATATCACGGGCATGGCAGCTTTTGGTATTTTCTTCAGTCACCTTTATACGCAGTCCCATGCCAGATCTCAAATAGCCTGTGTAAATCACATATAGGAGTATTATTTTCCATACAATCTGCTGTATGGTGTCTATTCTATGTATTCGTTTAGTGCGCACATTGAAAGTGCAATAGATTTATCTGTAGAAGGTGTTTATAGACAATGCCCCTACCTATTCACCAGACCCAACCCAGTGACCCAATTGAAATAATGTGCTTGCCCAAAACACTGTGAAACAGTTACCAAAATCTGTAGAAATGCAACATCTTGAATCTCTCTGTAGAGAAAGGTGACTTTATTTACAAGTCTACATGAACAAAAAAGAAGCTATGTTCCTGCCTAGCTGAGGCATCTGCGAGTTTGCTGGGATAATCTCCTTGCCGCCCAAAATGCTGGAGTGTGATACAGGTGACAAGCTATCAGAAACACAATGTGCAAAATAAACTGATATGTAGAGTCGATGGATCTGTATCCAGAGTTTTAATGGGCTCTCTTGGAAGGAGAAAGAATTGCAGGTGAACAATATCCAACTTCATTATAGCGGATGAGTTAGTAAATTTAAAAACATTATTTTATATGTACGACATATAAAGATCTTTGTAAAATGCGCAAGTGCAATAATTTAAAGAGGTCTTAACTTTGCATTTATAAATTATAAATATTGTACATGTGTGTAATTTTTCATGTATTCATTTGCAGTCTTTGTATTTAAAAGAAACCTTAACTGTTATGTTTGTATAATAGAACAGTAATCATTTATTATAACCTAGGCAAATTGTAAATAAATTCATAATTCAAACAGCTGGTATATATGCATATATGGGTGTTACATTGCAACATCTATCTTTGTTTTACTTACATGCTTAGAGCTGCAAGAAATCTTTTGTGGATATGTAATTATACATATAAAGTATATATATGTATGATACATGAAATATATTTAGAGATGTTCATAATTTTAATGGATATCCTTTGGTGTGAATACTTGAATACAGAGTTTTTAAAATATCATCTTTCACGTTTATCATTTGCTCTCACTTGTGGGGAAGGTAAAAGACATTTTGTATGTTGAGGGAAGCGCAGGGGCCTCGTACAAGTTCATTAGCAAACACTCCAGGCCTTGTTTGCTTAGAAGACCCCAAGTTCACATTGAAGTAAGGTTTAATATTTGCTTCAGCCATTTCTACCAGAAAGGATGAGACAACATAAATGTTAAATTTTATAAGATGATTTGTTAACTC